CCATCCTAGCCACCGTGGTGCCTACTCCAGCTATAGTCACCATTGTCTTTTAAATTGTCAAGTACAGGGGTCATGCTCAGCCCTGTACTCTTTGATCCATCCGCAGGATTGCTTCCCGCCTTCCTGAAACCTCCTTTTGCCTGATCAACTTACCCTTTCTTTCTGGCTGTTTGTTTTCTGGCCTGTTTTGTGCTGCTGTCCCAAGGTTTTGTCCTTGAAATCTTGGTTACTTTTGAGTCTTACCACTTTCATGAATTGCACTGTGGCCCACGTTTTGTCGCCTTCTGAACTTCAGAATGTATTGTGTGTGTTTGTACCAGTGGGGTGTATATGTTTTGAAAGTGGGGAGAGGAGGAGAGATCGATTGATTTCCAGGAGCTGACGAGTGCAAAATCTGTAGTGCACGTGAGTGGGCAGGAAACAGGCAGAATTGATGTTGCATTCCTCGATTGAAGTCCGTAGGGTGGACTTCAAGCTCAAGCTTCAAGCTCAAGCTCAATTTCTGTGCTACAGCCTTGAAGCAGAATTCCTTCTCCAAGCATCCTTCGTTTCTGCTCCTAAGGCCTTTGACTGGCTGGATGGTGCCCACTGATTCAGTCAGCCGGTAGGCAGTGTGAACTGCATCTGCAAAAGTGCCTTCATAGGAGCCTCTAGCTGCTGCTTGTCACCGCAGCCTGAGTTGACGCATGAAATTCTCATACTTCCTCACCAGCTCTAGGCTTAGCTTTCAGGGGACAATGGGAAAACATATCCGTTGGGATTTGACACTTGGTTCTTGTACTTCCGAGCTAGATCACCTTGGTTTTCCTGGATCACTAGGTTTCCTAGTCTCCCAAATAACAGTTCCCTTATGTGTACAAAATAAGAACTATAAATATGTCTCTATGAGCTCACAGTGTCATTAACCAAATACTTGATAAGTGAATGGAATGCATAATAAAAGAAAGCAGGAAAAACTCTTAAGTTTTGTGGTTAACTGAGTGGAGAACTACACTTCGGACTTCAGAATCATTTAAAATATTTAGTAATTTCTCTAACAAAAAAGTAAATATATATATACGTATATAAATATATATATATACGTAAATATAAATATTATATACGTAATATATATATACGTAAATATAAATAAGTATATATATACGTATACGTATATATACACGTATATATATACGTATACGTATATATACACGTATATATATATTTATATATATATACGTATATATTTATATACGTATATATATATACACACATATATAAATATATACATATTTTGTAGTATGTATTTATGGAATGTACTTACCTATTTATGGAATGACTGTAGTCCACAGTATATAAACACAGACTATGAGATACATACAGAGGTCTGTTTATTCAGTAAACATTGAACATCTTCTAAATGCCGATAGGCGTAAGTCCCACAACATCAGTTTTACAGACTTCACCTTTATTACTTTCTTTCTTCATTGGCCTCTGAAATGTAATAAAACATTGCCGGAGGATCAAAGGTGACTGACTGTAGCATAGTATTTACCCTTTTTCCTCCAAATATGAAATAGTTTATGGCAGGCTGGCTTTGCAAAATGCTTCTTAAATAGAATAAATCATGTAGGAGATTAACTGCAACTAGCATGATTTTAACTTACTGTTAAATTTACAAGTACAATATGCCTTCTCTTAGTCCTTAAGGGATAAATAGGTTGTATTGCGATCTGTATATATTGGCACCATCAGTTTCCGGAACATATAATGTTAAACCAAATTTTAGACATTTGTAGAAGTACCTTTTATATTTTGATAAAATGTGTGATATTTTCTTTTTTAAAGAATAAAAATTCTGTCATGTAATAATTATGATCGTAGACAAGTACTCACGTGTGCTGGTTGAGAAGGTTTAAAAGATTATAGTAATATCGGAGGAATTGTATATAATTTCTGCATGGGTTGATGTAACAAACTTCTAAGCTAATTGAGACAGTGTATGGTTGCACTTAGAGATAACTAACTTGCAGGGGGTCTCTTGGAAGTAAAATTCATACTTGAGAGCCGACCCATGAGGCAAGTAGGTTCTATTCCAGTCTTGCAGTTCTGAAGAGCTATTACCTTTATATCACCTATTTGTTGTTGTTTGCTTTTTATGTTTTGAGACCGGTTTCACTGTGTAGCCCAGGCTGGCCTGGAACTCTTGGTGATTCTCCTGCCTCAGGTTCTGAGTGCTGGGATAACAGGTGTGTGCCACGATGCCCAGCTTCTAGAACGTGGCATTTTCTAATAAGCTGCCAGGAATTGATAGTGATATCTGTTATTGAATGTTGATTTGCTTTTGCTGTGATTTCACTAATATAAAGCCTTTTAATAGTCTTAGTAGTTTAGATGAAGTGAAACAAGCAGATACTAAAGTTTTATATTTTAGCAGTAATAGTTTTGGTACTACTTACCTTTGGAGTAATTGTGGATGTTTAGTCATTTGCAAACTAATCTCATTAATTCTTTTGTGTGTATGTCCTTTTGAGACAGGGTCTCACTACGCAGTTCAGGCTGGCCCATTTTGTAGCCTTGGCATTGAACTTGCAGCAATCTTCCTGCCTCACCCTCCTGGGATTACAGGCATGCACCACCACGTCCAGCCTTAATGATTTTTATAAGGATCTGTGGTTTCAAATTAAAGATAAACCTGCACCCTGTAATTTGAAATGGGGACTTTGCAGTTATTTTGTAGACTTAAATCAATTTAGTAGATAAAATAATTCTCTATGAGGTTGACTTTAAAAAATAATTGCCAGCCAGGCATGGTGGCACACATGCCTGTGCAGTCCCAGCACTCAGGAGGCTGAGGCAGGAGGATCATTGCAAGTTTGAAACCAGCCTGGGCTACAAAGTGAGCTCAAGGCCGGCCTGAACTGCATAGCAAGACCCTGTCTCAAAAAGACAACAAAACAAACAAAAAGCCAAAAAGAATCATAAGGAATAAAAACTTTAAAAGAAAAAGATAATTGCAGTTCTTTACTTCTTAATAATTTTTCAGTGTTAGAAAATAAAATCATCCAAAAATTTAAAATGCCAAATAAATAATGAACATTTCCTGATAGAATAAGTATTCCGTGGACATACTTGAATGGTTTCATGTATGAATGGTTTCATATACTTAGATATATTTTATAATTATATCAATTTTGATAATACTATACTGTTTTTAAAACTGAAAGGTGCTTCCTAGGTCTGTGATATCCAGTTTATTAAACATTAGTCACATAAGTATAGCTAGCCCAAATTAGGATGTATGCTCTATGTATGCAATACACACTTGATTTAAACACCAGACGCAAAATAAGAATGCAGATCATCTCATTAATTATTAAATGTTGAAATGGTTTGTTTTGTTTTGTTTTGTTTGGCAGTGTTGGGGATTGAACCCAGGGCCTTCATCCTTCTTTATTTTTTGTTTTTGACAGCGCCTCACTAAATTGCGGAAGTTGCCCAACGTGGGCTCAGGATGGTCATTCTTCTGCCTCTGCCTCCCAGAGTGCCTAGTTTGTAGGAGTTCTTTATGTACCCTGAATACCAACCCTTCGTCATATATATTTTATATGTGGCAAATACAGTTTATGGTCTCCTTATTCATTTTATTATGAACGTATTTTTATAAGCAGAAGTTTTATTTTATTTTTTTGGTACCAGGAATCGAACTCACAACCTCACACTTGCCAGGCAGGCACTGTGCCACTGAGCTATATCCCTGGCAAGTTTTAAATTTTGATGCAGTCCTATTTATCAGTTTTTTATTTCGTGGTTTATCTGTGTTTTAAGAAACTTTTCCTCTTTCCAATTTGTGAAGATTTTTCTCTCTTTTCTTAACCTTTCAGTTTAGTTTTTACAGTCAGGACTAAAGGTAGACCTCAGGTTAACTTCGTATATGGTGTGAAGAAGAGGTTGAGATTCTTTTCTTCTCCTGTATGGATAGTCAGTTATTCCAACACAGTCAGATTTCCTTGGCATTTTGTTAGAAATTAAATGGTCAGGTAAATGTGGGCCTGCATCTGGGTTCTCTATTCTGGCCCACTAATATATTTTTTGGTCCTTACACTAATATTTACTGTAGCATCACAGCAGGGTAGTAGTGACTTTAACAGTTGCATGTATACCAGGATATGTAAATACCTCTATCTTCTTACTAATTTAATTTCCAACTTTGTAGTTGGAAATTATCTAACCTGCCATTAAAATCTTTGCCATGTATATCTTTTTCCCACTTGTTAAATTGTCTCCTCAGGGTTAATTTCTCTATGAAGGAGTACTGGGTCAAAGGATGAATATATTTTTCATTTTGGTATGTAAATCTACTCTGTCTTATACACTCCCATCACCCTTTCACTGGAGTGCCAGCTTCCTTTAAATAAAAACAAGTAGTGAACTTGGGCTCAAGAGGTCTGTGTGTGTTTGTGTGTATATATGTGCTTATGGAATCAGTGTTTTTCTTCCTAATTGTTACCTCTGAAGCATGTAGAAAGTATCTCTCAGCAGAGGGCTCGTCCGCGAAGCACCCTGCCGGTGGCCTCCCATCCCATCCTCGCTTGGGCTAGTGACCGTGCGTGGGTGGGGCGTGGGTGAGGCTCACGAGGGTAGCGAAGGCTGCTGCGGTTTCTTTCACCGAGAGCTCTGTACTTAGGCTTTCCAAAGCCAGGGAGAGGTCCCGAACAACAGAAAACAGTCCGGGCTCATTTATTGGGTACCTGGTAATTTTCTGACATAATAGCAGCTTGTATAGAGTAGTTTACAATTCCAGTCGGAACCAGGAACAATGAAATGCTTTATTATTTCTGTTCTCTGCATTTGTACTAAACTCTTAAATGTTGAAAGTTGAAAACAAACCTTGGTCCCGGACCTCTTCCCCCTACCCATCCCAACATCTTGGTGGTGTGTGGAAGGAATTTTCCATTAACTGTATCTCTCTGTGGCCAGTCTAAAGGAAAAAAATTCAAAGCATGCCAAATCAGAGTAACATTGAGCTATCAGATTTTGCCCAGTTTAACAGTTGTCTTTCCTTGAGTGTTTTTTATATTGCTAAAAGAAACCTAGTTCTTGTTTGTTTCTTAAAGACAACTAATACTGCACAGAGGAATGAGAAAATGCATGTTCTAATTTTAAGTTATCATTAAATCATTAAATATGTGACCTTTAGTAAATCACTGCAATTGCTGTAGGCTTCAGTTTCCTCATCTGTAAAAGGAGAGGTTTGATGTCAGCTCTCTCCAAAGTTCCTTTCTATGTTGCAGTTCTTTGATTCACTCTGTTCCAGATTTTTAACTTAGGATAAAATTTTGTTTGAAAATCAGTAGTAGATAGAGCTAATGTTTTTGGTTAGAAAAAATATGAAAGTACAAAGTTTTGAATGTCATTCAAGCCCATAAACAGTTATTTCCCCACCCTGAATGTGTACCTCCCTACACGCTGGCGCAGAAGCCCAGGGTGGCTTTTTGTGCAGCGCACAGGGTGCTGGGAACGAACTGTGCGCCTGTTTAAGTCACCTGTTGAGAAAACAGGCAGCTATTGACAGGTCTGATTCATGGCTGAGTGAGCGCTCTGCCGGCCTTCACATGATCCCCACCGAGCCAAATCTTTGACCGCCTGCTAAACAGGGTCTGTTTGAAGTTTCTTTTTAACATTTCCAAAACGTTAATTCAGCAGGATGTCTCCTCTGGGGTCCCGCATGTCACCAAATCAGCAGCTGTTGAAATCCATTCACTTCAGCATGAAATGTTTTCATAAGTGCTTTTTTTATTTGTGACAACAGCAGAGTAAATATAGGACTCAGTTCTACCTTACCCAACGTTTGCATGTGCTAACCCTGCTGCTGATTGTGTGTGCCTTCGCCGTGCTTACTTGCAAGCGTTGATGTCGATAGTTCCACTGCTGAGGGTTTCAGTCAGCCCTGCCTGCACAATGTGCTATCCCTTGAATTTCTTTCTGAAATAATTCATACTTTGAGCAAGAACTTACATGATCCTTTTAAAGCAGTATTTCTTAAGAAGCTCTGACTTTTATGATTTTTGTGTTACAGATGAGATTGTTAATTTTGCCTGGTAGTATAAACTCTTAACTTCCCACTTTAAAAGGATTAATATTGAGCGTCCAGGCAAATAATTTAACAACATAAAGTAATGTAAAATTCTTGAAGTAAAGAACTGAGGACCAGCAGACTCTGATGGTAAAGATAAGGCACACCAAGTTCTACAGATTACAGTGACTTGTTTGAACAGAGCTCTGCTCCGTAGAGCTCGGCTCTTTTATTCATTGTAAGTAAAGCCCATATATCTTTGCAGTTAACATGAGAACTGCTACGCCTGCTCAACATGGATTGAGCTGTCCCCTTCTCTGTTTATTCAAGTTTTAAAAGACTTAAGGATCACTTTATTAGTTCATTAGCTAGCTTCATTCTTTGAGATGCTTTTCACCTCCATATTATTAAATTTCATTGCATGCAAAAAATTAACAGATCAACCCATTATACAGCTTAGCAGCATGAAGTCTTTTTCCATCTACAGGGAGAATACTGTGTAAATCAAGCTCTTGGGTTTCAGTGGGAGGCAGAGGTTGCATGGTGTCCATTTGTCAAGCTGATGGCACCGCAGTGAGGTTACATTAGCTTGTCTTTGAACACCAGTGAAATCTTACGCGAAGCTCCCTTTGCTGTCATTTACACCAACATCCATCCTCTTAGAGCCAGGCCTGTGAGAAAAACAAAGTGATCGCACAATCTAATCAGTCACTCAAGTTGTCTGTCATCTGTTTTCTTAAGGAAATGCCTTTCAAGTTACGGGGGCAGAGAACTGTAGAAAATTAACAAAGGTTGTAGTAGTAAAAGTAGATGGAATTTTTTTGAACTGCAGATGTCTTTTGGAGAAGACTTTATATGCAGAATGCCAAAAAGGGTTCTCCCCCTGTCTCTCATAATGGGTCTCATAAAGCGCATTTCTTCTCGAACAATAGACCTACTGCTGTTCGCAACTGGAGTCTTTCTTGCTTAATGTGAGTACATGTTAACGCTCCCAAAAACCTCTCTTTAAGAAAGTTTGTTCTCAGTCTGTAAAACTCCTCAGCGCAGTAGGCCCTCTGACAATTCGCTCTCCACCTTTCCGTCGTGAGCTCTCTGTGTTTCAGTTCTTTAAGGGCAAATCTCACATATAGTAGGCTACTTGAAGGCAAATGGTACTTTAAAGGTAAATTATTGGAAATTCATTACTTAATATTACACTGAGACCATTCCTTTAAAACCGACTGCGCTGCCTGTGATGGCCAGTCTAGGGCTGGTGATCAAATTTGCAGGTTTCATTTCCCTAAGCCTGTTTTATGGGCCGAAACACTCAGGTCGTTTGCACCCTGCCTAATTCATCATGAAGCAGTTAAACTCAGATTGTTAAACCAGGAGAGATGAGCTGACAGTCAGCAGTACATGGGATTAAGACCTCCTTTGCTTACATTTAACTGTTTATCCATCCCAATTGTGTGACATTTGCAGCAAACTGTATTTTTTGGTGGAATTTAAAAGAAACAGGAGGAAAATTTTAAGATGAGGGGAGATAGACTCTTGAGCAATGTGAACAGTATTTTTTTTAACACTGTCATTCGCTGTTTTGGTGATTAATGCTGCACTGAAGAGCTCTGATATAAAAAGCAACCGGTCAATTGCTTAAATATAAAGAAAATTTTCACTTTTGTTTGCTGTGAACGTATTTAGCTTTCTTGTTTTTTTAATTAATAAATCTGAGTAAACAACCCCTTTCACTAGAAGTTGCTAAGAACAACACATTCATTCTTTGCTTAAAAACTACTCTAAAAGATCTCTTAAGAATTGATAGACAAAATTGACCCGGACGTCTTAGCATATCAATGACATTTAGATATTTTTAGACAAATAAATGAGTAGTTATTTGAATTGTAGTTAGGTATATTTTACAAAATACCACTGTTGTTGACCCTTGTGTCTCCCACAGTGAGTTATTTAACATTGTGTTATACAAAAACTGGTTTTTCCTTCCCTTTTGAAACTTACGTGAACATTTGGAATTGATGAACTTCTGAGAGACCCAGAAGATCAATCTTGATTAGTTTATTTTTCTTAGCGAAGATTTTGATAGCCTAGAATAGCTTTTTTGTCTTTTAAGAGATTCCTTATTTCCTCTGTTGAGGGATGAAATATTCTTAAAAGCAGCTCATAAATGAAATAGTGAAAAAGAGTTTAACTGACTGAATCTTTCATTGTCACTGAGAGGACCTCAGATTTAAAAGACTGATATTTAATTGCCCTTTTCCTCATATTTCTTCCCAATTTAACCTCAAGGTGATTTTTAAAGTTATGGCTTAATTGGGTGGTCATTTTACCTTTGCTTTGGAGCAATTTATTATAGCTTTATTGGAACTTTATTTCCTTGAACCATCAAAGGCATAAATGCTGGGATCTGTTTGATCAAAAGCTATTTTATGATGAATTTGGTTTCCTAAATAGGAAATTTGATTCTATTTTTATCTTTGGACATTCACAATTAGATAAAAGCATAATGTCAAAAGCACTCTAAAATTCCAGGAAAAAAGTATGTCTTTTTTATTTGGAGTTAGAAACAATGTTTACAAATTAAGGTATTTTAAAAGTTTACAGAATTAAGTGTGCACTTACAGTACCCTGTTATGCTTTCAAGAGACCAAAAAATAGTCATGATAAATTTTTCATTATTCACACCTACATTCTTTAACAGTTATTGGGTACAAACTATATGTCACAAAAGCTGAAGCTGATTGACCTGGATTAAATATGTGAGCTTCACAAAATATTTTTTGTTTATAGTAAACTGATTTTTCCAAAGCTATGTAAGAATATTTCTATTTCTGAATTACTAATTTCTTCAAATATTTTATCATAATCAGTTAATACAGGTTATGATTTATTATAAAACATGGATTTATGTTATAGGTTGAGCTAGAGGAAATTCATATTCTGCTTTGTAAATGAAGTTTAACCTCTTCACAATTTTTTCAAGTTTTGGTTTTCTTTTGCAGTATCGGATGTTACTCTGTATCAGGCTAATTTGTTGCGGAGCGTGTGAGCCGTTGTCCGGCGTTGATAACAGTGCTACAATGTTGCCTTGTATAGACCTGTATAAAGTGTTTAAGCTGGGTTAAAATGACTTACGTGAGCAATCTACAAGAAAAATGTTCCTTTTCAAATTTTAAAGTGCAGCGAAATCAGGCAAGAATTAGACATGAAGCAAACAAATCAGAAACACTCTTGTCACTTCCTTTATTAAATAGGACACTTCTGTGTCTTTACATTCAAAAGGAGAAAGAAGTAAGTTCTTCACCCATGATCACCGCTGTGCTCAGGAGTCTGCTCTGCGCTACGGAAAATTCACAAGTCGTACCTTCCCTTTCTTCCTCATTTCCAGTGACTTAGAAGTGCTTAGTGATGGAGGAGTAACCAGGCCCCCCTGCCATACTCGTGAGAGCTCTTCGACTGCCCCGCACCCAGCTACCCGCCAGAGCCAGTCAGAGGCGCTGAGTCCCACGCCCTCCCCAGATGGAATTTCTTGAGAACTGTTTCCAAAGGAAGTTCTTCGCGTTATTTCCCTGACTGGCTACAGGTAGTCCTGGCAGCCTGAGGGACAAGAGTGTCCTCTGTCCCTGGTTCCGTCAAAATACTTCAGGATGCAGCAGCTAGCGGGGCGAGAGCTTACTGCCTTTATCACCCCCAGGAGTTCGAAGGCCAGTGTGAAGGGGACATTTTGAAATACTGTAGTTTTCTGTGGCTATTATAAAAGGCTTTCTTGTATTTCATTGCGTTTGTTTGCAGTGCTAAGGGCCGAACCCAGGGCTTTATGCAGGCTAAGCACACTTACCACTGAACTGTACCCCACCTCCAAACAATGCTTTTATGAGGAGATATGTATAATAAATTTGAGGATGAGGAAGACTGATAGAAAAAAGAATTTTCTGAAACTAGATGCCATGTCTTATAAAATAGCTGTTCTGTTTTTTATATAAATACTTAGTTGATAATATGCAAAACCAGTCTCCAGTATTGTATAAATGTGTGACATCTCCTGGCATTTAAACTTTATTAATATTTCTTCTACTTATGTGATATTTTGAGTAGTTTAGGAAGAGAGTAATGTGGAGTAAAGAGAACTCCACTGTATTATTCATATGTTCATTCATTTTAAATAAATCACAGAAGAACTTACTTCATTGAGAGATGTACTAATACTAAAATTACAATTTTCTTGTTTACCTTTAATGACTCAGTTTACCTAGTTCATTGACGCACTTAACAAAGAACTTCGCTGCGGTGAGCCTTGAGGGTAGATGCAGTGAGAAAACGCGGTTCTGGTGTTCACTGAGCTCGTGCAGGCTGAGAGGAAAAGTGTTACGGACTTCGCTGGCACGGTTTCAGCCGAGTTCCTTGTAGACAGCAGCTTCATTTTCCCCCTGTCTAGACTCCTTAAGGGACAAAGCCAAGATGGTAAGCGGTACACCCTGAAGTTCCCGTCAGCCTCTTCCACTCTCCCACGCACACGGCCTTTGGCTTTGGCCAAACCACCTAATTTTCTTTGTGCTGTTTATTTTGTTCTTGATTTTTTCCCCTTGTTTTGGACAGCCTTATTCCTATGTTTGCGTTTCATAGTTATGTTCATTCCTGAAACCTCACTGCAGAGGTTGCCCTTATATTGAAGATTTTTAAAGAAATTCTCTAGCTGGCTCCCATGTTTCCTGTCACTGACCCTCCACGCACACCACACACTTTGCATTTGTCTCATGATGCCACTTGGTGAAACTGAATTATAGACTCAAGGACAGAGCGCCTGTCTCAGGACAGATTCACTGCTTGTGTGTTATATTAAATTCACTGAAAATTCAAAACAAATGATTTACTTTAAAAGATGTAGTTCTTGGACAGCATAAAGTCAACAGAGTAACATTTTAAAAAATTACTTGTGCTGGGCATGGTGGTGCACGCCTGTAATCCCAGCACTTGGGAGGCTGAGGCAGGAGGATCACTGCACGTTCAAGGCCAGCCTGGGCTACATAGTGAGACTCTGATTCAAAAAAATCAAAACAAAAACAAAAAATTTCATGTAATGGCAGTGAGTGGCCCTGAGGAATTTACATTATCAGAGGCTATTCTGGCAGTGCTAGATTCTGTGCCATGTTTGCTTTTTTAGAATATGTATATTTGAATTTTCTCTTGGAATAAGGATCAAGTGTAATTAAAATATAAAAATTACCAACTAATTAGTAAGTATGGAAAGAGTAAATGGCTTAAGATAGTTTCTCTTATGTCTCTCATGGTTAGTTGTCTGTCATATTATTTTCAAAAAAGAAAATGCCGTGGGAAATTTACACTAACTTTCATTGTATCCAGAGTCTGCGTTTGTGATTGTCAACCCGAAATGAGTGATGTATTCAAGTTCTACAGTGAGCTGGAGGCAGAATGAGGAATCTCAGACTGATTGTTTCTGAACGTACGGCAGGAACCATAAATAGAAAGACAGGGCCTTTTATATAACTTGGTTTTTGGTGAGACTGATAATCCACCTTTAACATAAAATACTATACATACTTTACTGTAAGTAATAGGTAAATTTGGTAGAACATTTAACCATGTATTGGAGTTCATGTTAAAAAGAAATCCATTTATTAAACAGGTTCTACTCTGCAAGGTTTCCAGGGTTTTATCTCTGTCCTGGAAAGTCCTGGAGACTGAGATGGCCGCATCCATCCAGCTGACTCTTCTTGCTTGCAATAAAATTATATACTCAGAGCCAGCACTTGGCCTTTAACATTTCAAGGGTGTTGTGTTAGCTCGAACTAGATTCCAGTGCACTGCAGCAGTTCTAGAAACAGCTTCAGAGCAATGCCTTCTTCTATACTTCCTTACCCATCGATAGTGAACTTTTAAAATTATTTTCATATCAAGTCATTATGCTGGCTTTCAAAATCTTACCCCTTATTGGCGGTGTCCAAAGGGATCTGCTGATAGGTGCACAGGGGCTTGATGATCTCATGGTCATTGTCATCCTTGTTCTTGTTTGAAATGTAGCTTTTTAAATTGTTGTTGACACTAAAAGTTAACACTAATTGCATCTTAACGTGAGACTCACCCTGAACACGACTATTTCTCTTCTCCTCAAGCACGCGCTCCCTTGCTGACACTGGCTGAAACAAAATCCTTAGCTTTTAAAAGAAAAGAGCTAGCAAGAGCAAGGGCTCTGTAAACAGCACTTCAGTCAGACTTGGATACCAAATACAGCGGGGCTAGATGGTAGCTGCGTGTGGGCAAGGCCTCAGCATGTCTCACACAATTAATCTCCAAGTCCAGCATATCAATCACACCTCCTTCGCATACCTGGCCCGGGGCCTTAATGGAATTCCTGCTCATTACCGCGGTGACGGCTCACTTCCTCTGTTTTTCCCATTGGCTCCTCGTTGTGCCAACTTCTTCAGGGAGCGTTTTCTTACCTAAGCAACGTTGTAATGTCGTAATGTGCGCTGACAGTTCATTTATATGGCGCTGCTTGTTCCAAATGTTTTTATGTTCAATTACTGAAATTTAATCATCAGGAGAGACGGAGTTTTCTCTTAATCATACAGCTTTGCTTCAGTGTTAATAGAACACGACAGAAATATAGGATTTCAAAGGTTTAAAAATTCAGTATCAGAAAGATTTATTAAGCTTTGAACTGATCACCTTTGAAATCACAGATAAGGGCTGTGTAAATGGTCACCTATAAATCACATATTTAAGAGAAGTTAATTTGAAATTACAAGACCGAGTCAGTGGTGGCTCATGGTAGTCTAGACGATTTGTGAGGGTTTTCTTGATTTTTTCAAGTTCTTCTAGAGATGCTTTTTGGTTTTATTTTACAGCCTCCTCTTTCGTTGATGTTACGTTGTTAAAATTCTTTCCAGTCAACTGATTCTTTTTAATCTGTTATCAGAATGTTGGAAATACGTTTTCTGTTACTCCTTTCTTATGGTACTAGAAAATGAGACCCAAAAAAGAGAGTGTCTGTCCCCCAAGGCGTTTCTGGTTTCAGACTCACATTCTTTCGGTAGTCACTGATTGTGTGTGTGGGGCTTTGAAAAAAGTTCTTGTGTAAGGTATAAAACAAATATTAAATATTATGTTTGGTTCTGATACAAGGAAATTATACGAGGTATGGAGCTCTGTTTACTTTTCTTTGTAGAGAAAACCACCTATTAAGCCATCTCAGTTGCCTAAACAGGACCAGTACTTTACACTACACCTTGGTTTAAGAATACAGTAGTTGATTCTGATTTCTTACTGTGCTCCTACAAATGAAGGTGTTTGGTTTTATTTTTGAGTGGTTTTAATCAGTTAATAAAGTACAAATGAAATATTGCAATCCACAGTTACTTCATTGTAATAAAATTTCTATAGTAGAATTAGTGATTCTTGATTTTTCTGTGCAAATAATTTTAAATATATATATATGGCTTTGACCCAAATTTTAAAACTCCTATTAAAAATAAACTGTAAAGGACGGGACGTTTGGCTCAGTGGTGGAGCACTTGCCTAGCATGCATGAGGCTTTAGGTTCCATCCTCAGTACTACAACATTACAATGAAACACTTTGAAATGCACACTGCTATCCCAAGTTGTCCGTCTTAAATGAAAGGTGCTTGCTGAAGTGACTTTGGTGACCGTCTGGGAGGTGTCCCTGGCGTGGAGGTTTGTGGCACAGTGTGTGTTGGGACCTGTGAAGTCGCTCACAAAAGGCAAAGGCTTTCTTCCTTTCATATCTAGAAATACATTATGAGCACTAAAATAAGCTAAATTCTTTTCTGTTAGATGTCTATTAAATTTTTTCAAGTAAAAAAAAAGTTTACTACATGTTGAGTTTTTGGGTTTTTTATTGAAGTCGCAGCCAGTAGCAAGGGTGGCCCCAGGGGAGATTCCCCAGGACTGGAGTCGGGAGTTGATGGCCAGCTCAGCCCCAGACTCCCTGAGAGTGAGTGCATAGGCTGGCGCTCACCGGTCGTGATGAGGTGTGTGATCCCTGCGTGGCCAGAGGAGCGGGGACGGGATGAGATGCAGTGCGGGGGTGCCAGGTGCGCCCCACACCGGAGAGAAGCTTAAACGTGATAGAGGCCGGCAGCAGCAAGCAGCTCTGCAGGTATAACAGTGAAGTTACATGAAGGAGAAAAGGATCCCACCTGGGACAGCACTCGAAAACTGTCTGCGCTCCGCCTGACCGCGCAGTAGGGAAAGTACTCAGGACGTGGCCCACCCACTGCACTAGACCTAAAGGAGAACAGAAGTTCCGCCCTCTAGAGCTGTTTTAAGAGGAGGGGATTTTTGAGTCAGACCCAACTCTGATTCTTCCCCAAGACTCAGCTAGTCACATGCAGTGAAAATTCATTATAGTGTTTCCACGAGCAGTATTTTCTACCTTTAAGAATCACAGCTGAAAATTCAAAGCATTGAATGTTCTCCCATAATTCTGATATATGGCTCTACTTAAAACAAATTTAAGTTCTTCATGTAGTCATTTAATCTGTTATTATACTTTAAGCTGGAGTATTAGTATATAACCAATATACACAAACAGTATCCTTTGGTTGGACAACATTATATAAATGTGAGTTTGCAGAAGTGCCTTTTAACTAGAGAAAATTTCAGTTCGGTTTGGTTTTTCCTCCAAAGTAGTATTGCCTTGGCTTAGTTTAATCCAAATACTTACTCTAAAATCAGCCACTAGAATGGATGCCAGGCAGTGACTCTCAGACCTGACCATGGCACAAAGTTTCCGTGCGTACTTGTTAAATAGACAGATTTCTGGGATTCAGTAGGTCTGGGGTAGAGCTTGGGAATTTGCCTTCCTAACAGGTTTTTCACTCAGTGCTACAGCTGCTGCTCTAGGAGTTATCTTTTCTACCACTCCAAGCCTTTCAGTGCATCTTCGTTAATGATTTTTGTCAGATTAATTTACTGGAGATGATTGTCTGTTGTGTATACATGGATGTCTATTATTTGCACTCAAGGATACTCAAGGGAAATCAAAGCAGAACTGGCTATATTAATATGAGATGTGGTAGGTTTCAGAGCAAAGAATATTATGTGCTAAAGAAAATCATTTCATAACAATAAAGGGATTAAGCCCCCTAAATGTTTATGCATCTGGTAACAAAGCTTAAAAATACAGGAAGCAACAATTGATAGAACGACAAAAGAAATGGACAAATGTACTATTATAGCCAGGGATTTCACCCCCCACACACACACCACTTATACATGGAGAGGACATGTAGACAGAAAGTTAGTAAAGGTATAGAAGACTTGAACAACATTACCAACCAACAGGACTAAATTAATATTTGTAGAACACTCCATGATTATACACATCGTTTTCAAAGACACATGGAAAATTTATCTCTACAGACCATATTCTATACCATCACACAGTCTCAAAAAATGTAGAGATCCAAGTCATACAAACCATGTTCCCTGCCACACTGAGATTAAATTAAAATCAATTAAAAAGTGTGGCGGTTCCTCAAAAAGTTAAAATTAGGACCCAGCTATTCCATCTGTGTGTGTACTATACACCCAAAAGAACTAAAAAGTAGGCACGGGGTCAGACATCTGTCAGTGATGTTCACCACAGCATGCCTCTCAACGGCTACATCAGTGGATGAGTAGTTAAACAAAATACGTTTTGCATGCAGTAGAATATTATTCACCCTTAAAAAGAACGTCTACCACATTGGACAGCATGGGTAAACCTTGACGATGTTTTGCTTGTGAAATAACCTAGTCACAAGAAGACAAATGCTGTATGGTTCTACTTCTGTGAGGTCTCTAGGGAAATCAAGTTCATAAAGACAAAGTAAAGCAGTGATTGCCAGGAGCCTGGGGAGGGAGGGAGGCTCAGGAGTTTGTGCTCTGTGGACACAAAGCTTCCGTTTGGGGAGGTGAAGATAGTTCTAGAGATACGTCGTGGTGATGGGCACACAGTGGTGCGAATACTCTTAATGCTACTGCACTGTACATTTAAAAGTAGCAAATTTTGTTAGGATATTTTACCCCATTAAGTACTGAAACAAGGTGCAGAGTAGGCCACTCTTCAGGCCATAGGGCTGCTGGATGTTAGTTCCTGCTTCACACCCTGCCCGGGCACTGGAGGCCTCTGTTACTCGGCCGCCTCCCACTTCTCCAGCCAAGGGCCTAGAGAGTCCTCGGAGAAGCCGAGCCACACTAGCCCCTGTCATCTCTTCTGGCCTTCTGTCTTTCCTTAGACTGCTGGTTCGTGCTTGCTGTGCAGTTTTCTAAAACTAAAACCAAATGTTTGTGGATGATAAAATGCGTGATGTAAAATTATACAGAAGAGCAGAGGAATGATTAACACAGAAAGCAAGGTAGTGGTTACTACTCACAGGAAGGGAGTGGAAGGTATTTGGGGAAGAGAACTCCAAGAACTCCCAAAGTACTAGTAATGTTTACTTGATCTGGGAGGTGGCGGTGGGTACGTGGTTATTTATTCGGCTCTGTGTGTTTTAAATTAAACTATACATACCCATTTGTTGGAATGCAATGTACTTTTTAGAACAAGAATTTGAAAACGCTTTCGGTATTTAAATGACATTAGCATGAATGCAGCTCAAGTGTGGCATACTCTTCGTGACAACTTTCAGTGTCACAGTAAACTTCTTCCTGCTCTGTGTGTGTTGGTTTGCTTTATACTTCACTGGAAATAATTACTTCATTCTCTTCATGGAGATCGCTCAGCCTGCCTTTGCTAGGCAATACTTCCAGTTTGGTTCCCACAGATTTGTATGTTTATTTGGCAACAAAGATTTCTTAAAGTAAACCAGTTATATTTGAGTTTGTGATTATAATCTCTTGTGGGCCTTACTTATAATAAACTGCAGAAGCTTTCAAAGTCATCTCTTGGACATACCCAGACCATGGCTATATGTTAATTCTATATGTGTAATTTTGGAGTTTTAAAATCACAGATTGGAGTCTTTTTTTTCCTCTCCACATTTTATGCCTGTTACATTGCCAGCTGCTGATGAATAGTCGCAAGTCCATGACAGAGGCCCTCTGTGTCATCGTGAAACCTACTAGATATAAATATGCCCATACCATCAGACCTGTGTTGGAATTTGCTTGCGTAATTTCTGCCTTCCATTAGGTTTTGAGATCCCTGAGATCAAAGATCATGTATTATTTCTTCACCTCTTCGTTGCAAGGTCACACCTGTGTGTTGGAAAAGTAAAAGCTACAGGTAGAGGGAAGAGTGGAGCTACTCCAGGGTAGGCAGAGCGCTGGGGACAGCGGGGCAGAGGGGAGCGGCGGGCACAGACCAGAACAGTTGGATGGGTGCGGGTTAACCCTCCGCTGCCATGTTTAGGCCTTGGAACTGTGTTTCGTAGAGTGGGGAAGAGCGGAAGACTTCTGTGTGAGATGTGACATCCATGTTTAGAGAACTCCTCCTCCGTGTCTGTGTGTGAAGTGAAATGGGAGTGGGAGGGCCGCAGACGGAAGGCAGCAAGCAGGGAAGGCCGACTGCAACGGGAGCAAGGCCACGGCGACTGAGAAAGATCCTTGTTTCTGTGAAGCCTCCATTTCAGTGTCTGCTCCTGAAGATCTTTGGAGAGCTGAATCCTAACCGCTCGACCACCAGGGCGGCTCTCTGAAGATCTTTTGAGAGGGTTATAATGGATGTAAGACTTTTCAGAAACTTCGGAGTAGATCGTTTTATTTTAGATCTGCCCTGTACACTGTTCCTTTGAGGTTCACACACGTGACACAGAAGTAGGTCCTTATTTGAAGACATCCCGCTCAAGATTCTGGCCACTGTCACTAACTGCAAATGTGATCGTGCGTAAGACAGG